TAGAGCTGCCGGCCTATGCATTAATCAATTCTTTTTTATCTGAAAGGATGCAGCGCGTGACTTAGGACTGGAACATATCAGATGCAGTTACAATTACATCAGGGGTGCCCCAGGGCAGTATTTTGGGTCCATCATTGAATAGCCTATATAATTTTAATTTCATGAAGTCGCTGAGTTATTGTCAATAACATCTTTATGCTGACGACACTCAAATGTATGCCTCTTTTAAACCTGATCTGTCAGAACTTATAACAAACCGACTGAATACCGACTTGAAAAGCCTTCTCAAAACCTCTGAAGATCACTTGTTAAAGATAAACCCTGGTAAATCGACGGCTACATTGTTTTGTCGTGATTCCTGCAGAAAGGTATTAGTAAATAATATTAAGCTCAAACTAGGGGACAATATACATATAATATCATTTAGGGGTTCCGTGAACGATTTGTACTTAGTGGTTGACTCTAAACTTAAGTTTAGAGAGCACATTACTCTGTGCCTAAGAAAAGCATTTTCAATGTTAAAAATAATTTACCCCCATAGACATTACTTATCACAAAATACTAAAGCCACGCTCTGCGAAGCTTTAGAGTTGTCCCACTTCAACTTTGCTGATATGGTATATGGCCCATTTCTTGATAGTGTGGAACTAAAACGCGTTCAAAAAGCTCAGAATTCTTGTCTGACACTGATATTTGGCATAAGTAGTAGACAAAGAGTATCCCACAAACTACCTGAACTGAGATGGTTGAATATGGCTCAGAGGCGTACCTTGCACTCTACTTCATTTTTTGACAAGATTATAAAATATAAAATCCCTCCTTATCTTCACTTAAAAATTAGTTACCGGACTGATGTACATAATCTAAACATTAGAAGATTGAATTTTATTACAGAACCATCACACAACAAAGAATCATTTAAAAAATCATTCTCGTATCAAATTGCCTTCTTGGTAAATAAATTCAAAATTAAAGATTTTTCTCTCTCGGTAGCTTCATTTAGGAGAAACCTTAAAAGTGATTTACTGTCTCAGATATCATAGAAAACACGTCTCCGGTTCCCCTTTTTTTTCTTCTCTTTCCCCTCGCTTTCTCTTCTCACTCTAAATGTCCATTTCTCTACTTACTATACTTCGCTATATTTCTTAAGTTTAAAACATTATTAATTATCAATGTCTTAATAGTCATTTGTCTTACTATTGTTTAAATTTGTTTTTTTTTTGGCTCTAGCAGCTGCTTCTTTAAGGGGCAAGCTGATGTAGCCCTTTATCCTCTTAAGGCTTTTTTTTTTGTTTGTAAACTTTGTATATACTGTTTAATGAGGGTAATAAGTATTATTATTACTATTTATTTCCGAATCAATCATTCTTATTAGAAAGCGCTCACAATTATCGGTATAATATCATAACCCACCTGTTGCTTATACCTAATTCTGAGTAAATGACATATTCACCAGGCTGAAGTGATCGGTGACAGCACTTAATATCATGCTATCACTTTTTGTCATCCGTCTATTGTTCGTGATGCAGCTATTGGATGGTTTCAAGGTCCGGCCATCATGTCCAGTTGATAAAAGGGCTATTAATCCATCACAGGGATATCATTAATATACTGACATAAATTACTCTCGGGCAGGTAACACTGTGTAAGTAACAGGCCATTAAAGGAAGGCACGTCAAAAATTGGGTTTTATAGACTATGGTCTAGGACAGTTTCGGTGACAAAGTCGGATGGTATGTTTTATATTTATCGCTTTTACCTATGTTGGCTTATTCCTTGAGAGCTAATATTATTTGTTTTTTATAAGATGACATGTCAATTTTTTTTATTTTTCGTTTTTTTCTTTTTCTTTCTCACTTTAGCTTCTAGTTTGATGAAAGGGTATCTAGTGAACCATCAATCCTACGTGAAAATGTATTGTAAAATTCTCCTAAATCTCGACTTCTACTGTGGTAATCAAAAAGTTATAGAGTTCCAAAACCTATTTGGAATAGGAAAATAAAACACATTTAGGCCCAATTTCACCAACAACTGTCCGTTATTCTACACCTATAGGGGCACAGACCGTCAAATACAACGAATGAGCTTCAAGTTCCAATCAACAAATTTTAGCAACCAATAGCTATGAAATGTTGAAAACAAAATACTGTCAAAGTATGAGATGACAGCTTGTCATTGAAACATCACCAGCTTATTGAGTATTAAGAAATTAGATATAATTCAGTCAAAATTTAAAGAAATGTTGGATTTTTGAATGAAATTCATGTTTTAATTACTATTGTTGATTTTTTATTCATGTCTATATTATTTTCTTCAATTGATATGCGATTTTACTGATTCAAGATCATCTACTGGGTGTTTTTTCCTATAAACCTCTTGCAGATAGCCATTAAGCACCTACTTGATGACAGGCTCTACCAAAAGATATTGCTCGTTTCCAAACATTCATTCATTTACTTGCCGTTCATCAGAACCATTATGGCATCTTAGATTGATATTCCCACAAAACCATTCAGGTTTTTTGATATCCATACATCCATAAAGTTGAATACTTTTCGTTGTTCAGGAACTGAACAAACATCCACACTATATTCACAGCGATTAAGAAATTCCCAAATATATGCCTTAAAGTTACCAGCAAACCTAAAACCTGCAAAAAACTACACATTCTAGGTTATATTTATATTAGACATTATTTGAATACAGAAGACTCATCGAATGACACATGTGTGGGATCCGTCAACCCATGATCCCAGTCACAAAACATATACTCTGAAGAAGGTTTAATTCCATGCTATTCAATGACAACACAGTGACTTGTGTGATCATTTTGTGAGGGTGCGACATGGTTGCCAGATTGTGCATTAATATCCGGTTTCCTCCCCTGGTCCTAGTGGAGTAAGCTTCGCCAACTGTTGAAATATACTCTACTATGCTTTATAAGAGTATTCGTGGAATTTTTCCCAAAATCGTTGCACAATACTTGGAAATGGAAATGACGCCGCAAAATAGATCCGTCGGTACCTCGGGTTATACATCTTGACAGTAAGGATGTTCGATAGGATCCTGTATTTAGAAGTGTCAATACATTTCACGAGTATCGCCATCTTTCGATCTGGAGTGTGTCAGAAAGGCTGAATGCCATTTGGCTGCGACATTACCCTGCCAAATCAGACATATCTTTCATCATTTTCAAAGGAATTGTACAAAATCTTCAAATTTGTGAAGTTAGCGAGTTTCACTTCATACGTTGTTACCAGACATGCTCAAATCACCAGTTGCTGCCGTGATATTCATCCCGACCACTGCATCCCCACGGCTAGGCGACCTGTATGTTAAATTTGTATTGATGGGGCAGCGGGTTATGCTATAAATCATATGTCACAGTTTTTGTGTACTGATTGCAACGGTCAGATGATACCAAAAATATCTTCATAAATAGGAGATCTTTTCGATTCCGGATCGAACAATCCACCAAAGATGCTTATAATCATGAGACCTAGTAAATTTACATGAAAAATCCTCTGTATGTAGGTATATAAGAGCTTTCTTATATTTGTTCATCAATTTGATGATACAAGACGTCTGCTACAAATGATCATAATCAGGATAGTAAACTATGACGAAGGTCCACTGTATGTAAGAATTTTCAGATACTTCATTTGCAATTTGACAACAGACCATGACGGTGTTCACATTTTTCAAATATTTTTCAAGAAGTGTTAACAGTCTAGCTCCAACTATCATAAGTACTATGTTTGTATTCCTACTTTAAATTCAAAACTAGCACATGTAAAAGATTCGTGTCGCACCCTTCATCACGGGATGTGATCGTCGTTAGACTTGGCAACCCTGCGAGTGACAGATAGATAACCCCACCATTATGCATCACGGGGATGTAGGGATTGACACGTCTTACACATATTATCTGTGTTTTAGGATGGAGAGGACAATGTTTTTATTGCTTTGAAGAAATTCATTAACCCGTAAATTAATAAATGATTACTATTATGATGTAAAGGAAGATGAGGCATTGGATGGAATGTATTTTATATTTTATTTTCTTGCAAAATGCAGACAAATCCACACTATTCAACAGGTATGTAATGATAACAGTAAATTGAACTTAAATTCGAGATTGCCATGCACTAACAAACGTCCAAATCTGCTACCAAATTTAACAGCTAGAAAATCGACCTATTATTTGCCGCATTCCCTTTTGGGGATAACTGATTTTTAAATGTAAATTTATAACACAAAGCAAAATACATGAAAGTTGACCTGTTTTCTCTGTACAAAAGCATCATAATGGAATCAAGAAGTGATCTTGTTTATAATACAGTCGAATTTTCACGATTTTATTCAATATTATAATAGAAATCACTGATATTCTGAGACCTTTGACAGCTTCTGTCAAATTGCATTTCGATAAGGTATTTTCCCATTGGTCCATAATATTAATGTTGGTGAAATCGGCCCTTATTGAGTTTTTCTTTCTTACTTCAACTACTATTTTGATGAAAGAATCAATCCTCCGTAAAAATGTGGCAAATCCATTTGGAGTAGCAAAATGAAACTTTCAAAACTTTCCTCTATCTGAGCAAGAAAACTGATATCAAATCTGAAATCTCTCTTACTATTTACAAAAAATGGGTTTCGGTCGAGATAACCCACATCTAACTTTTTTGAAAACTTTCTTCGATACTGTGCCTTAAGACTGTAAAGTATTTCAAGGCATAATTTCCAAATTTGCCTATCGTCTAATTCGGACGATGATTTTAAGTATGGCCGCCAAGAAATGCTAAAGTGACCATCCTGTCCATGAACGAAAAACTAACATCACAGGTCGTGCTGGTCATATTCGTACATAGACCCCGCTCTTGTCTGTTCTTAGCGGGCGATTCTTGAGCTTTTGTCGAAGAGTAGCGTTTTCTTGCACCCCAAGGCTTGATCACGTCCAGGACCACTAACAGGTTTTGAAAAGAATTTTTCAAAACCAGCTGACAGCTCAATGCGCCCAAATTTCCGAACTTCCTTGCAGAATAGCTCCACCATGCACGCTTTGCCAGCCTTGTAGTCGTAAAGAGGAGAAAGAGAGAGACAGCCTTCTGCCCACCTTCCATCCTTTTCCCACTCCTCCGCCATCCGCCATCCTCGATCTGCCTTCCGGAAAATTAAGAAACGCCTTGAAAACGCGCGTAAGGGAAATTTAAAGCATAGGATTTTCCTCCTGGAGAAAATCATTTATTTTTGACCTGCGCACTCGGCACTCTCGCGCCTTGCTCAGATTATTCCAAGAAATATGACGGAGAGCTTCGTTCGTTTCTAGGGTCAGCTGCGGCGATAAGGGGTTGCAGTGTATCTTTTTCCTTTTGATAACAATGTGTAACGTACTTTTAGCTCTGAAGCAAACATTTTTAAATTTCAATTAACAGCTTTATTGGGCTGGAAATGTGTGACTTTTTCATTGGATTGTCTGTATGTTTTTTTTAACTACGTATTATCAGTAACGACAGCACCGATTTTGATTGAATTTCTAAAGCGTCATATGCTGAAGGGCAATTTTTTGTAATACAGTGGACCTCCGGTAATCCGACAAACATTATGCAGGGCAGTGTCGGACTATCGAATTTCGGATTATAGAGCACTGCCTAAGACCCCCTATAATCCTGAATTTTTTACAAAAGAGTACCTTGTAGTCCGACAAGTTACATATCCAGTGGTAAGATTATGTATACATATATGTTATGTATATGTATGTACTTTGAAGTACAAATCATACATAGTTTATGTATGTCGAATTTAGTAATTTAAATAACAATAGAGAGCTTACGTTTTATTATAAAATTAAGCATAAATGCACATATGCACCAAAATAATCAAGAATTATTAATCAAAATCATTAATGAATTTATCAAATTATGAAGCTTGGAAATATTCATCATTTTTTTTTAAGGTTGTTATAAGGCGAGATCAGAGCTTTGTCCCTCAGTCTTCTCAAAAGTAAAAGTTCGTTGTAGGATGTACCATTCTCTTCAGCCCATTGTAAACCTAGCTCAAAGGCATTAATTGCGTCTTGTGCTGTGCAGTTGCAATCATGTCATCGTTATTTATTTTCCTGATTGTTTGTTGTATAATTGGAAACCTCTTTTATAATCTCTTCGTCAGACATTTCATGAAAAACATTTTCCTCTTTATCCATTCCACGGCACCAGATTTCCAAATCTTCCGGACTTATCTGCGTTTCAGTAGCAACTTGTTCTATAACTTCCGAAGTAACACTGATTTGTGGAGCGTTGCTAGACTATATCTGGCCATAACTTTTTCCAAGACGATTTGATAGTTGATGACGGTAACGCGTTTCACGACTGACAAAGAGCAAAAACCAAGTCTTTCATATTAAATTCTTTTAAAGTTTTTTCTATTGGTTGGTTTTTTGATACGGCTCTCAGAACTAGGTTTTTCTTATAGTCTTGCTTGGCAAACTGAATGATATTCTGGTCCATTGGTTGAATCAGTGCAGTGCAATTTGGCAGGAGAAACATCGCAGTGATGCATTTATCCTCTGGTGTTAGTTCTTCTTCAGACGGATGACCGGGAGCGTTATCAAGAAGCAACAACACTTTTTGAGAAAAATTATGATCTTTTAACCATTTTCTAACTTGTTGTACGAAGCATTCATCAAACTACTTTTTGGAAAGGTCATTTGTCATCCATGCACTTTTTTGTCCGTAATAGTGTACAGGTAAGTCAATGTTTTTGAATGCCCGTGGTTTATTAGATTTCCCAATGACCATCATCTTAAGCGCGTGTGTGCCCGCAGCGTTAGCACATGGTAGTATGGTTACACGCTCTTTACTTACTTTTCGTCCAGGTACGGATTTTTCGTTACCAGAAACGAAAGTTTTGTTAGGCATCACACGCCAAAAAAGCCCTTATTCGTCTGCATTGTACACCTGTTACGGGTCAAGATTTAAATCGTTCACCTTTTGCAAACATCTTAATTTAAAGGGCTCTATGCAGGTGGCATCGTTAGAAAGTTTCTCTCCTGTAATAGTCACTAAACGTATGCAATGACGACTTTTAAAACATTCTAGCCATCCTTTGCTGGCCACAAGATCATCTTTTTTTGTTATTTCCTTATAAAAAAACTTAGCTTTCATGGCCAACATGGGTCCTGAAATTGGTGCATGCCTATTTCATTCCTGAAGAAACCACATGCACAAAGCTTCTTCCACTTCTGGATGTTCAGCTTTCTTGAGTGTCTGTCTCTTGCCTCGCCCGCAGTGAGTAGTTGACACGAACTTCTTGATCTTCACGTGGTTTCTTTTAATGTCATAAATTGTAGATCGGCCTACGCCGTATTCCCTTGCTAAACTACTGAAAGTGTCATTGCGATTTAAGCGGTCGATAATATCACATTTTTCTTTAATTGTGAATGTTTTGTGCTTTCGCTTCTGAGTTTGTGATGACATTACTAGGTACTATACTTAATACACAATGAATAAATAGTAAACAATGAACGCACGCTAGGCCGTACCGCTATCACCAGTAGACAAATTCAAACTAAGTAAAACAATGATTACGCGTCGAGCACGATAGCGGTGGCGCGTACAAGTTGTAACCTGTTCAAACCTGCGTGATCTACATTAGCGAAGATTGTCAAATACGTATGTATGTAATACATATTCAAAGACATGTCGGATTAAAGTGGGCGCCGGATTAGTCAGGGGCTGGATTATCGGGGTTCCACGGTAATGTCTTCATTTCATAAAAATCGGTTGAGTAATGACGGAGTTATGAGCTTTTAAATCTTCGAAGACCCTTGGGCATAGACAATTTTTTTCGGAGGAATCAAACCTCTGGAAAAGCTCCAGAATTTTGAAATTCGACAAGGCTCATTTTTTGAGTTGCATATTCCAATAATGAGAGGGTCTCAAAGAGCATTTATATATCGATGACTTTAAGTTTCTACGTATGGAAAATTTGAAGATAGACGAACACAAAATCTTGGGAGTTTTTGACACTTTTTTGAATGACGTTTTCTGCGACCCAATAGAATTGGACTACTTAACCGCCTTAGAGTTGCAAGATTACCATGACCGAATGACCGAAGGGTGCCATGGAAACACACTATGATCTTTTTAGCAATTTTCAATAGCTTACCTTGGTTTTCTTACTAATTTTTATTAACTAACATCTGACATTGAACTGCAGTCCTCTTTGGAGCACGCTGAGGTGTAAATAAGCATGACAATCGAAACGATTTTGGCCGAGCTTTGCCTGGCTGCCATTCGTTTCAGCTTGTCGTAGTTTATACTGCTCCCTCTACAAATTCCAAATAGGACTCGGTCTGGAGTGCAGTTTATATCTAAGTTCAGATATTCATATAACGTATTATATGCTTTTGATTCGGTTACGCCATTCTTCTTCCTCTCCAGAGAAGTGGTGTAGCGCCGTTAGACAAAAATATTGAAACCTCGGAACCCGGTTCCACTGAGTGGATTTTCGTGAAACTTTTCCGATAGCATTGTTGAAAGTTTGAAAAATAAAGTCCACCTATCAAAATTGGACACTATCCAATGTAACATTGTATAACAATGCTCAACAATGATCAACAACAATTTAAAAAAAACAGGAGGATTTTGAGAAGTGTGATAATTTTTTGAAAAGTTCATTTAAACGTGGGCCTCAAAGCTCACCAGCATACTGGGTGATGAAGTCATGATTTCGATATCGAATGAAATTATATACGCTGAAAACCAAATACCAATAACGTTGTAATGTGTACGAGAGAGATACGTGCAATACGTGAGTTAGAAAGAGATAGTAGCATCTCGTTGCCTAGCAACTCAAAAGATGGGGCCAGGTCCGCCATCGACGCACTCCTAATATATCTTTACATATCTTTAATATCGACGCCATATCCAATACATGCAAAAAAATTTTTCCGGGAATCGCACAGAAATTGGGAAATTTTTACCACTACAGGAAAAATCGAAAATTATTTTCGACGCCAGTGCCTTTTGAACTTCCATTGCATTTTTGTAAGGTATTGATTGTACATGAGCCACTTACATTGACAAATTGCCAAACTAATGCTTCTGTTGAAAAATCGGTCTGAATGATTAAGGTACTACTTCTGAAATATGTTGAAATTGGAGAAGTTTGACATTAGATACTGTTTGTAGCGTATTAGGAGAGTAATTCTATATCACAATAGCGTCATTTAAACAATATTCAAGTTTTGTCCTTTTCCAGTCCCATCAGTGTCTTAAAAACTACCACACCCCGTATCTTGATAACGGATTTCTAGGTTTCATAGGTCTCTTTTTCAGAAATATTACCTAGCTTTGACTCACAGTTGAGTTTCAGCTAAATCACTCAAGTAACTTAGGAGAAGTTAAAAATATCAGTATTAGAAGAAATTAACTTATATATATATATATATAAAAAACGTCAAGTAACTTGAAAAAGTGAGCTGCGAACAAGTAAGCAAAAAATTAAATGACCTTCCGCCTACCTCATTGCGATGAGCAATCCCGCGAGACAGGCGATATTGTCCTTCACCATGTACAGCGCACATAGCACACAGCCGTGCGGAAGCGATTGCCGGCTGTAACGTACGACCACCGACGACAACGCTTGTCCATCGGGGGACCACGTCGCACGTACCGACACCCGACTGTTGGAAATATTCTTCTATTTAAGGGTAAATCTACGGGAACATGTATGATGAGTGAAATATGTCTATGAGTAGAATTACTGGGGTTGGAGGCGTATAAATATACCAACGTCAAATGCTTGAGATCTATCCTCTTCCATTCTTTGCAGCCCCTAACACCAACTTTTGAGCCCTACAATAATTTTTCCGATAAGGATCGATCTTTCTTTCGCCTTCTTGGCATAGTAGCAACATTGTTTAACATTTCATCGAAATCCAAGCGGTACTTCTCAAATTATAGGCGGGTATAAGATTAGCGGACAGACCGACAGATAGACCGACGAAAATGAGTGCATCTCAGTTTCGAAAATTTTCGCAATCACAATACTTTCCCGCTCGTAGGCGTGGGAAGTAAAAACGGAATTAAAAAAAAGGTTCTCAAAAGCGGTCAAAATTAATGGGAATTCTTTTAAATATACATTATTTTAAACGCATTTCACTAAAAATTGAAAAAATCTATCTAGGTGAACCGGG